GGGGGGGGGGTTGTGACGTACAGTTTGAGAAGCCATGTTCTAAACAGCTGATAACATGGTTATTAAAGTGCACGAGTTCATTTTGTAATTTGATGCATTTAGTTCAAACCATTTTCTAATATTTAGATGTCAAAATAAAGGATTCTATAAGATTAGCATGGGGCTGTATTTACCTGTACTGGTATTGCTGTGTTGTGGGGGGCACTTACCCCGCTTACAAAGTTCCTCACAGTTTTCAGCTCATTAAGCTATCATCGAGTATTTCAGGTCAAATAACTGATGATGGCTTAATGAGTTGAAACACACACTGTATCCACACTACCTATTGTGGTGATAGAATAAAATAAATTTCACACACATGGTTTGATGCTAAGGCATAATAGTTCTGCTCTTATGGCTACTGAAACTTTTCATGAGAATGCTACCTGCAGATAAATAAGAAAAAACAGAAAGCTGTGCAAGAAATAGCGATCCAACTTGGGTATAAATGTAGCAGGCATAGTGAACAATATTTTCCCCTAGAATAAATGTCTGAAGTACATTACATTTACCTGAAATATGTATTTGAGTTAATACTGAGATGAACAGGAGTGCTAAGTGAGGGATAAATTGCAAATAAGTACGTATGAAAGAAATCAAGGTAGCTATGTAACTTTTTACTTTTATAGCACTGAATTAAATGATATTCAAATGTTCTTGCTATCTCCGACTGTACAGTGTCAAGTGGTACTGTATTCAGTTATAAATGGGAGGGGGGAGAAAAAAAAGCAGTCTCGCCCTAATTTGAGGTACTATCCCAACATTTGCATGAAAGGTCTAAGGAGAGTCATGGACGCTTCACTAAGTGTCAGAATGCTAAGCTTGGGAGCACCAATTCCAGTTGACTCGCACATAATTTAATGGTGCTGTATCATCTATGAATCTTTAGTGTTAGTGAACAGATGATATGCATGAAAGTCTGACTGACATGGTAGCAGGGTATTTTAATTTACTGTCCTTACACTTGTTTTGCAAACAGGAAAAGGTCATAAATGTAAGGATTTCCAGTTCCTACAGTCAAGATTCAGATCAGGTAACCCCTGACTACAAAGTGGCTGTATCCTCACTAGATAGGTCAAGTACTCAGGTACTGTAGTCTGACAGAGTGTCATATCACAAAACATAAACTGAATTCCTTCAAATTAAAAGCATTGTAAACAGGTCACAGGTTCTATTCCCAATAAGTTTCTTGGATTTTTCAATTGACCTAATCCTTCCAGCTGCACTATGGCCCTGGGGTTGACTCAGCCTCTAACACCAATGAGTACCAGGAATATTCCTGGGGGGGTAGAGGGAGGCCAGTGCATAAGGCTTCTTTTGTGTGTGTGTGTGTGTGTGTGTGTATGGGGGGACCTGCATAGTCCCATCTAGAGTGAAGTCAGAGCTATATAATTGTGCAGGTGTGCCAGTATCATATGTTTCTGCAGAACTAAATTTAATGGGAAATTGTTGAATTACAGATGCAATCTTATTTCAGTAAGACTATCACACACATTCATGGCATTCAGTGTACTGACAGTAGTTATCTGCTGCATTTTTCAGTCTACTTAATACACAGAGCTCAACAAACACTCTCCTCTGCTCATTCAGGGCTTACAATGGGAGAAAATGCATTTGTTAACATTCTCTCCTACCCTCTCTTTTGATTTCTCCATGGACGTTTAATAGCACATGACATCTTGTACAGGTTTGTATATGATAAGGAGCAGTTATGTGTTATGTAATGGTTCCAAGCAGTTAAAAACAGTGGTGTGACTAGGCACGGTTCCTCTCTCGCAGAGAATTGGATTTGGGGTTTTCATGGCTGTGACTGAAGAGTATGATGTTTCTGACATGCGACACTGTATAGTCTGGTAGAAGAGTTCTACTGGGATATACTACCGTGTAGTCCATTGAAAGCCAACCGACATTTTGGAGGAACATATCACTTCCAACTTCAGATCTATGTTTGCTTCCTGCTTGGATTATTCTTCAGCCCTGAAGATGGAGGCAATATGTTCCTCTGAAACATCGATTAACATTCAGTGGACTACACAGCATCATGTCCCAAAAGACAGAACTCTTCATCTCAAATCCTACATAGTCTGGTAGAAGTGTACTGATGTTTCAGAGGAACTTACTGCCTCCATCTTCAGGGTCAAAGAGTAAGCCAAGGAAGTGGCAAGCAGAGTGGTGAACATGTACCAGACTGTCACATCCCAGAAGACAGAGCCAAGATGTGTTGATCCATGTTGCTATGTCTCAGAATACTTCTAAAATGTATTTACACTTTCATGCTGTTTGATTTGGGTCTATAGTACATTCAGATGATATGAAAGCAAAAGTTTATGTGTGTTTAGATACTGTTGATTAAAAGTGCCTAGTGAGAACCTCCATTATATTTTTTTGCATTTTTTATTGGACAGCGCTGACCACTGAGAGTTTTTAAAGTATGTAAATATTTCTAACAGTGGTAGGAACAATATACTTGACTGATATCTTGGACACAGTCTATCATTTAGTGTTCTCTTAAGACAACATTTCGGAAACTGAATCACTTCCTCTCAACAGGGCTAAGGGAATAAACCTTTTTTTACAGAGTCAGGTTCCATGTAACAAGAAGTATGTCACTGGATCACTGATCTGATGGACCCAGCTGAGGAAGGAGTGCTCCTTCCTTACATCTGATGACCAAAACAGATTTCATAGTGTTGGGATGTGACGCTGTGCAGTTTGGGAGAGGTACAAACCTCAGCTCCATCTGTCTCTTCCTTGGCTGGCCACAGCTTTCTTTCCTCTTTATCAGACTGTTCGAATTTGTTTTCGAAGATGGTCAGAGTTCATTCATTCTTTAAATGTTCTTTCCAGTTTGGTTTGTATGTCATTAGAAATATGTGTATTCTTAAAGTATGATGTTTTATGGGATGTGACATCATGTAGCCGGGTAGAAGTTTACTGATATTTCAGAGGAACATACGCCTCCATCTTCAAGGCTGAAGAGTAAATCAAGCAAGCACAGAGCTGGCAGGTCATTCACTTGGCTTACTCTTCAAGCCAGACGATGAAGGCGGTACATACTTCTGAAACACAGAGCATGTCACTGCAGCCCAGGTGACGGTACGCTTCATAGGCACTGTCATGAGAACCTCAAATCCAACATCTAATTCCCTGATTCGATATTGTGTGCCGTCATATACCCATTGACAGCAGTACAGAACTTCATGTCTGCTGACAGTTTGAATTTCATCTCATTTCTCAGATCCATGACTTTGAACTATGTAATGGAATGGGTACTGCTAAGAATTTATAAAATGTTGAGTTTCCCTAGTTGACTATTTAATGAACTTTTAGGCTGTATCTGGGAAATCAGGTGACAGTTCCTGCTGGCTTAACCATACAGAGTGCAGCATTTGATGGAAACAAGGTGTCTCACATTCTCGGAACGTCTTCTAATAGATATACTTAGCACTAAATTGTGTACTAATTTCACAAAAGAAATATTAGCTTAACTGAGGGAGTTCTGTATACCAGAACAATGTGCAAGCATTGCACATATATGCCACTTAAAAACTGTTTATTGGAGGGTTTCAAATTTTGCTAATGAGATTTTCTGTAAGATTCGTTGCCTACAAAGTTTCATAGGATTGTAACTATATATAAATTGTTGTAAGTTGTGTACGCATTAAACTGGTGGAATTCTGAAATGAAACGTGAGGATGGTAAAGGTGTCTAGAGGTGAGGTTTGAAGTTTTCATAGTGGTGAACATTAAGAATGTGGTGTCAAGATACTGTATTTTTGTACGTATCTGCTGCCTCGATTCTGAGGGCACTTCCTTCTAGAAGAGGCAGCAGGTTCCTCCGAAACGATGGTAAGCACACTTTGGAAGTGCACAGTATCATAATCGGGAAGATTACAGTCTTAAGAAGTCCACAGAGATTGCGATGCATGCTGCAGAATGTGTATTTATGTACGAAATGTAACCTGTAATGCTCTGTATCAGAGTGGCTGATGTGTCAAAAAAAGAGGACAGAAATCTGTAAGTTTCAACGACCGTTTTTATATTGTAGTTCTGTTGTTTTTGACCTCTGTAGCAGCAGGAATGTGCAACCTTATCAGACTACAACTCAGTTTGAAGTTTTGGTACCCATTGCAGTTCAGTATAGTTATATAGTTTCTAATTAATTTTCCTGTTTTCAGAAAGTCCTAAATTTATGTACATAATCTTAAACCACTGTCGACACTCAGCTTCATCTTTTTCATCAAGCCACAGTTACTCATTTTCATGTTAGAAAGGGAACCTTTATCTTATATAGGTATTCACATTTTCACTGTGGCGCTTTCAAATTGTGGTCTTCAGCTGTGAAGATGAAGGCCACATGTTTCTTCAGAATGTCAGTACCTGCCTACAAGGCTACACTATGCAGTGACTAAGAATACCACACTGTGAAACCTCAAATCTGGTTTCAAGATGTTCATCTATACACCTTCTCCCCTATTTTCATTTCCAATTCTCCAGTCCTTAAAACAGTTGCTAAAACATAAACAATGGAAATCCAGTGATGTATCTAAACCTGTAAAAATTTTTTAGTGGAATACTACAAACATTCCAGAATTTGTTGGTAGCTCATGTCATGGAGGGAAGACAAAGCGTTTTGTGTTTATACTGAATGGATTGAACTGGCTCTCTATTCTGAGATTGTTAACATTGGTTTAGGAAAATCCCTAACCCAGATACTCTCCCCACAAAGCGATAGTGTAAACCTCACGAGTACAAAGATTAACAAAAGAGAAACAGAAATGCAGCTTAAATTTAAAATATTTATAGCCTACTTACATGCGCCCATTTTTTGAAAGAACCATTACAGGTGTCCAGATCAAAATGACTTGATCCATGGGCCAGAGGTTGCACACACCTGTTCTGTTCTATAACAGTCTTTTAACATTTTTAATTGTTCTGCTGACCTTATTATATCATCACTTGTAAGCACGATAATAAAATTGTACTTCGTCCATCTTTATACGTGTTTTTTAATATTGTGCCTAGAACAGATAAAGGAGGCCTGTGATACAGTGAAATCCTGATTTCATGTTCTTGCATTTTGTGAATTTTGATTTAGTAAATAGACCATATTTGCTGTAAGAAATGTTCAACTTTCCAGAATCCACATCTTGATTTCAAGCAATCGTGGTCAAAACAACAATCGATGTTTGTCTTTTCTCTCTCCTGAGTAATTTGATATTATGTAACTGTATTTACTTGCGCAGAAGTAGTTTCTTTAACTATTTATACAAATAAATTAGTTCATCATAATATTTACAGTACCTGCTGTGTGGAGTGTGTCTTGATGTAATTTTCCATAATTTCCATTCGGTGGAAACCTTGACTTTATGTAAGAAAAGTCTCTCCCTCAAATATTCATTAAACGGATTTCACTGTAATTGTAGGCTGGAGAATACTCCATAATGAGGGACTTTACAAATTGTGTCTTTCACGTGGTATTATTAGTCTGTGTTACATGACACTTCTGCCTAATAAAAATCAGATTAGATTTCACAGCTGTAGAATGAAGAAGCACGGATAGCTTAATACCATAGCAAGGTACGTGGAAGGTACCAGAACATCCGACTACACACAGCCGAAGAACGAAGAACTCGAGTGCGTGTGTACAGTGCTGTGATTAGCCATGTTAGACTAAGGGTGCGGCTGCAGTACAGAACATTAAAATCATGGTTAGCATTAGCCACAGGGCTCACTGTATGAAAATTCTAGACAGTTTCTATCAGAGGTGACCAGAGGTAGAGCATCCAAGTGCCACACAGAAGAGGCAATCATAATCATCACAGAGCTCCATATTTCAAGGCTGATCTTGGTCGGTCATTGGTGACTTGAAGAGGACTGAGGTTAGGAAGGAGGATACTAACAAGGGTGAGTTACGGTGAGAACTGGTGGAGCATGAGAGATGTGGATTTGGATCACAAGGTAGGCAAAGAGTATATTCTGTTATCTTGTAATATGTAAATGTAATTTAAACTAAGTGTATGTGGTCTCATTGCCAGAATGCTAACACAGCTAACAGATGGTAGGATTTGACGTTCTCACAGCGGTGGTTCCGAAGAGGACTCTCTTCTGGGATATAATACTGTGTAGTCCATTGGAAGTGAACCAACGTTTCGGAGGAACATATTGCCTCCATCTTCATGGTCGCATAAACCGAGCAAGATACCAGTGTGAATGCAGTGCTTTCACGCTGGTCTCTAGCTCGGCTTATTTAACTCTGAAGATGGAGGCGATATGTTCCTCCGAAACGTCGGTTCACTTCCAATAGACTACGTGGTGTCAGTATAGCAACTGGCTATGGGTTGGACTGAGGGCTGAGAGTTCGAGTCCCGGTACGATCAAGAATTTTCTCCACGTCATCCAGACCAGCTCTGGGGCCCACGTAACTACTTATCCAGTGGGTACCAGGAGTAAAGTGGCCAGGGCATGGAGTTGACCACTCACCTCCAACTAGTGCCAAGGTAAAGAAACATAGGTCTTCATGGTGTTGTGCTTAATTACTTAAGTACAAGGACAACTTTACTTTTTACATTGGTGTTATAATATCCCAGAAGATAGTACTCTTCAGCTAATAGATCCTTTGAAAATGTGGCAAAATTCACATATCCAGAAACCAAAAGGTAGCAAGCTAATACTGATAGCATTATCAAATAACCAAGTGAGAAGATTAATTTATTTAAAATCTTAGAGAAAACATAGGTGTGCTTAATGTTAATACACTTGACACATACTTTCTTGGAAACAAATTGCCAGAACTACTGATTAGGAACTGTGCAGCAGAAAAGGTGTAGCTCCAAACAAAATAAAAGAAATGGTACATTCTTATAAATCTGACCTGGCAAACTGCACTAAGAAGACAGCGTACTGAGTGATCTAAGGAAAGAGACTGATCCGTTTTTACTTGTTATCCCACACTTCTAGGATGGCACTGATACTTAAAACATTTTAATCTGAAGCAAATTTCTGTACTGCCATTCCCTGAAATACGCAGCTACATTTCTCCACGCGGACATGCTGCATGCATGCATGCATGCATGCAATTAGTGAATGCCTAGACAGCTCAACGTTACATCACACCAATGGCTCATCACATTTCAAAACCATGGGACATCTTTGCCTCTTCTGTTGGCATGTAACTATTACAGGTTTCTGTCTCTTGGATTTGATGCATTCTTCTGGGACAGCCCATCTCATCTGACTGGAAATTGGGGTGCAGCTGAAACCTCACCGATACTGTGGGGAGTGCTGCTTTACTATGCTGCGTGATATGTCAGCATGCCCTGAAATAAGAAGCAACACATTTCAAGTGTCTTACACAGAAATATATGATGTAGGAAGGCTAATGTTTCTCTTTAAGCCTCTCAGATCATAACCCTCTGCAGTTCATACACACTAAAACCCTCAGTTTAAACTTTATTCAGTTAGTGGACCCAGAATGTTCGCTGTTTCTTGTAAACCATGCAGATGAATGTCATTTCTGCACAGTTACTGTGTCTGTACCTACTTGCATGCATACAATTAACCATATGACAAGATGAGATCTGTCAACTGCAATGTGTAATCCAAGTTTTTTGCTGAAAGTAGGCTCAGAGCCAGCTGATATCCAGCAGTTCAGGGAGGATGCACTGTGTTCACATGAGCACAGATGGCTGCCAGTACCAGCCAATCACACGAACAGTAAGAAAACTTAAGAACTTATTCTGCACAACTGCTGCACTGCTGTGTATGAAATCTTAAAAGCAAGCATCAGTGTACCTGAGTACATCTCTCTCTTGCGTTAACATAGCTACACCATGGAGCTCACTGAAATTATGCCTGACTGATTTTTATTCTGATGCTATGTTTTCATTTGCCAATCACAGTGGTCCCGTGGTCTAGGACGTGAACTGTCTTTGCTTGCTCAAATGCTGGGATCGTGGGTTTGAATCCCACTCAAGGCATGGATGTCTGTGTACGTTTATTCTGTGTGTAGGTAACAGCCTTGCGTTGGGCTGATCCCCCATCCAAGGAGTCCTATGAACTGTGTATAGGAAACTGAAGAAGCGGCCAAGGTCCAACCATACGCAGGCAGACATGTGTTTTCATTTCATAGCACTTAATGAAAGACAGCCTGGCCATATTCACACATCTCCATTTAACCCACAGGAGATGGTTTCTCAAACTATGGGTCATGACCCCCTTGGGGAAGGGGGAGGTTCAGTTTTGAAGAATTATTTACATTATACAGTAAATTCTCATTATAGCAGACAATAAGGGGCAAGGGTGTCCGTTATCACTGTCCGCTATAACCGAGTGAAGGGGTGTTCACTGAAGTACACCATAGGGGATACAGTACACACAATAAAAACAGAAACATAAAATGTGATTATATAAAGGTTTTTATATTGGAGGTTCTTTTTTATTTTAAATAGTTTTCTAACTACAAAACCTTCTTAGCGCCTCAACATCTCTAAAAATTCACAATTGTACACAGCCGTACTTTGCCCGTTATAATGAGGGTTTGCATGCGCACACAGTAAAGCTTTCAGAAAACATAGCTGCAGCTGGCAGAACATTTCAAGATTCTTTCTGTGACTACAGGATCACTCTGTAGTTTACTGTACTGATGTAGAGATGTTGTAAAGGTGTTTAGGTTCCTGCTGACACCTTACAGCCCACATCAATGTGCAGAACTGCATTCCCCACACACACACACACACACACAGAGAAGAGGAGACCACACAGATGTGTCAGTGTAGGGGGCCACAGTTTCATAAAGTGAGAGTCTGCTACAGTATTCTCAAACATGCATTTACCTAATGCAACATTCTGGAGGGACATAACTCCCACACACGACACGGACTTGCTACAATCAATTCCAGTTCAGTGCTAAGCTCTACAATACGTGGAGCTTTACCTACACATCTTAAAATGTGGCGCTTTGGCATGGGAACTTTAACCTTTACTGGGATTGTAGACAGTGAAGACTTACAGGTCACCATCTGGTTACTGGACAACACAACAAGAATAGACCTCTACACAAACATGGTCCAGCAGGTGTGCCAATGCAACAAGACGTACGTACCTAGCTGCAGTTCGATGTACAGCGCAAGCATGATGACATGGATTGGGATATCACAGCCTGGACCTTTTGACATCCACACCTGTCCAACACAATACAGAGAGGTGAGGTGATTATGAACAAGATACAAGTCACTGCCACAAACATCAAGACACCTTCATGGTGCTGGGGTTCAATTCCCAGCAGGGACAAGAGATTTTTCTCTACACCACAGCATTCACAGGCCCTGGGAGTAATGTGGCTAGGGCGTGAAGCTAACCACTGAACTCATCTGGTGCCATGTCAAGAATGGCAGAGCTATGCATCCACTCCCCCATACATCTTCATGTTATGGTGCTTAATTAAGCACAGGGACAACTTTACCTTATAGTGCTGTAAAATAAACCACACAAAAAAATAAATAATTTGATTCAAAACAGGATACTCTTGCTCACCTGTTTCAGAGCCTCGCCAGCCTTGTCCAGTTCACCACGGATAGCAAATGCAGCTGCCAAGTTGTACTGCATCACTGCCCCAGCCGTTGCAAGTGTGTTCGGAAACCACGCTGCACAAACAATATGAAAGGCACGTTAGAGCTTCTCTGTGACGCTGGTCAGGTATGATGGTTGCTTTATCTGGCTCTTCTGAAATATGATGCTGCATAGCCTAGAAACTATCCTGAAGATGGAGGCAACAGCTCCAATGAAATATTAGTTTCTATCCATCAAACTACATAGCTTCACATCCCAGAAGACTGTAATCTTCAAGATTACTTTCAACCTCACCTCTGAGTGGCTTCTGCTGCTCCGTGCCAATCTCTGACTTCTCCCGGTCTACATCCTTCTCAGGGCATGGGGACATCAGAGTGAGTTCCTTCACATGTTCTGGATTCAGATGTTCTATTGCATCTGAGATCTTGTCTAACAACACCAGTGCCTCTGCTGCATACAAATGTCCAAGCATCCTGCCAGAACGTAACAGCGTTATTAATCTATCACGGCTTAGACCAGTGTTACTACATGTCCCATACTGTGTTCTGTGCAGCCTTTGAAGTGAACACTGTAATTCAGTTTGGTTTACCACAGAATGCAATGACACCCTTCATTACAATACATTATTTAAAGTTTTCACAATAAGCACATACAAGGTTGAAAATATTTAGAAAATAGGATCCAGTAACTTTATTATGATGACATAATGATTTACATCAGCATCTAATGATGACCCCCTCCCCAAAAGATGCAGTAGACAGTGAATTTGAAATATTTTTCGATAACATGTACATTTACGTCCAATACAATCCATCATTCCACTCAGAAAGAGCCAAGAATTTGTTAGGTGTGGCTATAATTTAAATGTCTCTACCCGCCAGTCCCTCACACAGTGGTGACATACCTGTGCACCCCTGACAGCGCTGGCTGTACAAGCAACATCTCTGCATGGTCCAGTGCTACTACATAATCACCCAGGCACAGTGCAACATAAGCACTCATTGCAAGCACAGAACACCTGAGGTTCACAACCTCATGAGGTCCAAGTGGATTTGATGGTGCAGCATAAACATAATGGCTGCAAGGGGACGATGCGACGGGGGGGGCATCTGTCGAGTCTGGTGTAGGCAGCGTCGGCTCCTCTGCCTGGGACTCTGGCAGCAGGAGCAGGGCATTACGGAGGCACAGGGAGGCAAACTCCACAGTTGCCACAGGAACTGCAAATGACTGCCCCTCACAGCTGTACTTGGTATCTCTCGAAAGCTGTGGAGTGAGGATGATCTTTCTGTGTGTCCCAGTACCCACCACACCTTGCACCAGATCCCTCCGCCGCGCATGAAAGTTGAAATCACTCTCATTGTCCTGAGAGAGAAACCAACAAGATCTGTTAACAGCCACTTAAGTACTTCAAAGCCTCCACATAGCAATTCTCTATAAGTTCATTTAATTTTTGTGGTTGTTTTATGACAGTGTATCAACATGTGGAACCCCCATTTACTATACCTGAATTTAAGTTTTCCTAACCCTTCCGGCCGCACTATGGCCCTGGGGTTCACTCAGCCTCTAACAGAAATGAGTACCAGGAATTAAATAAATAATTTTCCTGGGGAGTAAAGCACGGCCGGTGCGTAAGGCTGACAACCTTACCGCCATCTTTGAGCCGATTGTCTAGATAATGTGAGACCCTCAACATCTCACAACCCTATGGGCCTTCACGGCCTGTGACAGGGATAGCTTTACTTTTTTACTTTTATTTTACTCTATTTTTATACTAAATTTCAGTCAACTCAAGTCAATAGTCTCAATGTTAAATTTCCTGACTTTAGTGTTCAAATTAACTGGTTCACAGTATATGGAAAGTCTTGAAATCCAGGGTTCTTTTCACTGATGAATGGTGTTTCAGAAGTGTGGATAGTTTCCTAGAAGAATTATGTATGCTTTCAATGACAATAATCTACAAAAAGGCATATTAATTTCCATGTGATTTGATGTGATAATCAGCAGAGATGATGCATGTTACTAACTGATTTGTGTGCCATGACGCAGCATTCAGCCAGCCGCAACCAGAGCCGTGGATTCATGTGGTAGACCTGGACAGCCTCTGTGAGACAGTCAAAAGCTTGGATCGGGCGTCCGGCATGCAGCAGGCTAACTCCCAGGTTGTACATCAGCTCATGACCCTTGTTGGAACCAAGAGTGTATAAAGGTCGACCAGAGTACGGTTCCGCTGCAAACATAGGGAAGAATCATACAGTTGGATTTATGGTATACTAATTAGCATTATGATCTGACTCTTGTATCTAATGTGTAGGACGGTTAACCAGTCAAGTGGTTATGACATGTATCGTAGTGGCCATGGCATCTACAGACATCACACATGTTTCTAACTACTCCATTGTAGATATAATGCCAGTCAGCTATAGAAACTTGTACACTGTGCTTGTAGGGTGACAGAAAAGTTGCTGATTACTTGACAGCTGTCCTCGGTTCAAGTTCTTTTGACTAAACATTATGGAAGGTCCTAGCAAGAAGATGCATGTAAGTGATGAGGTGTTGTATGAACTGTTGCAAGAGAATGAATACAGCAGCATTTCAGAGAGTGAATACAGTAGTGATAGTGAAATAAATGTGAACATATCATTAGGTGGTGAAAAAGTGTCAGCTCTGATGAAGCAGAAAATGTCAGCAACAACAGTAGCATGCAACTTGACGTAGGGGCAAATTCAGGTGCTGAGCAACTACATTTTACATTTACTGGAAAGCCTGGCATAAATGTTGATTCAGAACAAGCCAGTAATCCCCTGGAATATTTTGAGTTGTTTTGTATGCCAGAGAAACATATCAGTATGCCCCAAAACTTTTATAAAACACATCTAATCTAGAACTAAAATCTAGGACCCATCATTGGGCTGGTATTGAAAACTACATAATTATAAAGTATTCACAGTATCTGTCACTTGAGTTGCAGCAATGTTTCCAATGGTATAATAGTTCTAGTGATGATTTCATAGTCTGCAAAACATAATGATTTTGCAGTGATGTTTGGAAGAACAGTTCAGTTCATTCATCCATACTGGCCTTGAGCTTGCCCACACAGCAATAAGAAACTCTCTTTATCAATGAGGGATCCAGAATGTAGCAATAAGCCAAGCTGGCTGTGCGTGTTTTCGCAAGACAGATTTGTCAGTGGATTATTATGATCATGTTTCACTTCTAACGCCACACACCAGTCAAGTTCACATATATTGAATGTGAAACACTCAAGAATACATATGAGATCACACAGTCTCAACAGAAATGAAAATCAGTGGCGACAGTGGCAGATTTTTTTAGAATAAAGCCAAAGTATTTTTTACAAAAAACATACTTTATTGTAATAACTATGGAAATGAAAATTGAGGCATGTGAAGTCTGATAATTGGTCTTTCAGAGGCTTTTTGCTCCATAATTTTATAACACCATATGATTGAGATACTGCAGTTTAAAAATGGAGCACAAATTATAAAATTAGACGCTGCAGTGACAAATCTAAATGTCCAGATTGTGGGGGAGAGAAGAACACAGAAAAGAACCACTTGACTGGTTAATGAGTTATGAATTGGAAACAATCTGGCAGTAAAAGGTCATGGCCTAATTAAGGATTCTGTCCCACAATTTGCTTGGAGGGAGAGGAGAAACACACAAGAAAGCTCCAAGAGCTCAGTGGATATCCCAGCCAAGACACGATTTTACATGTGGACAGACTGGGGAACTATTCTTCATATTCCCCAAGTTTTCTCTTCGGTACAGGTGAAATTTTAGATTTGTAAGAACTGAGCAGGCTGGAATAGTAGCAACTCAGATTCGGGGGGTGCTTGGGTTAAATCCTGGCTGGGGTTTATCATGGTCTTCCTCAGTCCCTCCAGAAAAACGCCAGACTAGGTAGTGCCCATCCATGCATAACACTCTTTTCCAGTTCAAGTGCAGACTCTCAGGTATACAAACCAAGTGACTAACCTGTCTCTGCTTTGGGAAGACTCTTCATGGCTGTCTCATTCTCCTGAAGAGCTTTCTGCAGGTAGTAGCATGCGAGGTGCGGCTTGCCCATGTAGTGGTGGATGCAACCCATGTTGCTGTAGTACAATACTGGGGCAGACTCCCCCAGCTCCCTGCAAATACACATGCATTGATTGGAATACATTACCATTTTTCTGTTAAGCAAAGCAAAATATTGCTACTTCTGCCATGGTTCTTTGTGTGATGATTCCTTCTCCAGTATATACTAGTAAGCAGGGATGGCAAAGCACGGGCACTGAGACACGTCCTGGCACCAGCAGTTACAGGTTTCATCAGGCCACACCATAGCTCAAGCTGTTAGTCACTGGCTTCCCACCACGATGGCCCGGGTTCGATCCCAGGTCTGGTCAAGTGGGATTTGTGGTGGACAAAGTGGCGCTGGGGCGTTTTCTCCAAGTACTTCGGTTTCCCCTGCCAATTTTCATTCCACCAAATTCTCCATCATAATCACCCGGGGCAGGCTACAATAGGCCAATCAGTGGATGCCATGCGGAGTGGACCATGTTGGACTCCACCCCCAACTAAGCGAATTTTTTACAGGTTTCATCTATATTAACATAAGGATTCACTTGATAATTCAAGAGCTTCCCAAGCCATACAATTTTACTGTTACTTTATGTACCTGCTCCAAATTCTGAGATGAATGCTCACATACAGAGAAATAATATAAAAAGACACATCATGCTATCTTGTCGGTTGCTTGAATCATGAAGCACATGAGTCAGTTCTGAGAAGCCTTCTCACAAATGAAACAGGTGCAGTCAGCCACACACAAGCCAAGAACTGAAGCAGCATGTAACAGATGTGCAGCAGCAGATGCCTCACGAAGCAATGGCAAGTAACGTTACCAAGCAATGAAGAAGTTCACCAACTCTCTAACATATGTTATGCAGTATCATGAATTGTGATGGATGTGGACGCTGTCATGGCCCATTTTAAAGCACTAGGTCATCATTTGTCTGCAGTGATTTCAGAGACTGCTTGATTCTTAGACTGTTTAATGACACACTTTCAACCGCAGAGGTTACATACTTTTATTTATGGATTATTTCACAATACTGTCAGAAGGCCAGAGACAGGATAGCACAGTTAGTAGAGCAATTACAGGGTGGATGAACAAGAGGTCAGAGTTCAAGTCCCTGTAGTGGCAAGAATTTTCTGTTCTCCATATTGTCCAAACTGGTTCTGAGGCCCACCCAGCCTCCTACTCAGTGGGTAGCAGGCATGAAGCTGGCCACACATTTCCATCTACTGCATAGGTTAAGAACAGTGGAGCTGCATGTCTTCACGGCATAATGCTTAATTCATTCACTACACTAACACCCTGGTGAAACCAAGGAAGCTCATAAGTAACTTAGTCAGGAAAATGGTCCCCATCAAATTGAAAATCTGCCAGATACAAAGCATTGGTTGTAACCACTCAAAAATGACCTTCAGTTTCAAATTATGAAGTTGTGCTCATAGCAACTAACTTGAATGACAGGCTGCTCTGCGGTATCGAGTTGATCACCTTCATGGCCTTCCTGTAGTTTCCGCGTTGGTACTCGAGGTTTCCTTTCAGCAGGACTGAAGTCAGGGTCTGAAAGGAAATGGGAAAGCTATAAATGTTTCTGTTACAGCTGGTGCAAAGGCTGGACAACATCTGTGTCATCAGAAAGGAACACGGAACCCAAACAAAACCTCTGTCATACCTGTATTTAATTTCAAACGAGTCTCGTGAATGTGCAGAACCATACCAGCCCAATAGTACTACTAGGCTATAAGTTGGAAAACTGGGGGATCAAGGCCTGATTCCTAGTATTTCTTCTCTCCAGCGTCCAGACTGGCTCTGCGGCCCACTCGCCTCCTCTTCAGAAGTTACGAGGGGCTCTTTAACCCGTTGCCGTGGTTCGTCGTGTATGTTTCGTCAGGGATTTAAATCGTCTGGGGGGGTTCGGCGTGTATGTTTCGTCCAGCTGCACACCTATGTTATAACGCCCATAATAATTGATGGTTTTGCTGTAGATTGTTAGATTTTTCGCTGGCCTGTTGTCACAAGAACAGAGTATACTAAGCCAACGAGTTTAGCTGAGCTAAGGCATCGTTACATATGCCTGTCTTGCAGCAAATTCGTGTTGCTTCTTGTAGCGGTTTCGTCACTCAATGGCGTATTTGCTTTGCTTGTGAAGTAATAAACACCAGAGAGGTGA